CCACCGCGCCCGACGGGCTGGCTGCACCCCCGCGCCGCCAGTGGAAGGCAGCGAGCGGCGCGGCCGGGCCGGGCCGGGCGGGGACGGGACAGGACGGCGCGGACCGGGCCGGGCCGGGCCGGGAGGGCGGCCCGGGGCTGTGGGGTCGGGGCGGGGCGGCTGCGGCGTGCGGGGCTCCTGCGGACACGTGCGGGCGCGGGGCGGAGCGGCGGGAAGGGGAGCGTGGGCGAACCTGCCCGCCTGCAGAGCGCGGCGTCCCCTGCCCCGCGTCGCTCCTCAGAAAGCCCTTCCCGCTGCCGCCACCCCCGCCGTGTCCCCGCTGTCCCTGCCGTTGTTTCGGCAGAGGAACTGCGAAATCATGGGGCTGCCTCGGGAAACAAACTGCAGCTGCTCGGAGCGAGGAAAGTCCGGCCACGCTCACGCCTCCAGCGCTGCCGCTCGGCTGTGCCCCGCCACCTGCTCCCGGTTTGGGGCCGGGGAGGATCCCAGGCAGAATTCCAGCCCTGCGGCACCGGCCCGGTGGGACACATCTGCCAGGGCACGGCACACCGGGGAACGGCGGGGACTGTCCCGGCACGGCACGGTTCCATTCCGGCACTGCCACCCGCCTCCCTGGGAGCCAAACAGCGGCATTTCCACCCCTTCCCTTGGGACAGTATCAGGCAGTCTATGTTTCCTGATATTCAAACTGAATTTTCACGTTTTACTTCAAACCCATTATGTTCTGTTTACATAGTCAAATCATAAATACAATACTGCATTATTAATATTTCCTCCTTTGGGTTTCCAGCTACCAAATATTTAGTGTTCTGGCTAACACTTGGTTAAAACCCAAGAAATGAATCAGCTCTCATTTTTATCACCACTAGCTGTAGGGCAGGAGTGAAGAATTTGAAGGTTGTGGTTTTGAAATATTATTTAGCTTTGCATTGAAATTTTTTATCCTGGTTTCTAGTTTTGAACCAATGTTGGGCAGCAGAAAGTAATCTGGTATTTTTTTGGCTTACATATTCCTCCTGAAAACTACAAGCCAAACCAACCAAACAAAAAGCAAAAAAATCCAGGCACAGTTAGAACCAATCTGACATAGTAGAATCACTGTTTTCACTTTATGCCATGAATTTGTAACCAGGCCCCACTCCCTGCTGAATCAGATCTGAGTTACACAACCTTTATTACAGGGATGCAACCTGTGTTCTCTGTGCTCCTTGCTCAAATAAACCAACCACGTGAGGCCTGATCAACTAATTTCAGAGAGAAACAGTTGCTTTCTTGAGGGTCCCATTTTTACGTCTTCATATAAATTCTGCACCAAACCTATCCAAAAAAAGTAAAGTTTACTTTTTGAGGCTACAGTCATTTGGGAAGTCAGCATCCCAGCAATACTCAGATCCTGAAAACAGCAGGATGGCAGGAACTGCTGGGGTTGCAGAACTCGCAGATGTTTTTCAGCCATGTCCTGCACCCTCTGGCCCTGGACTTTGCATTTCAGGCAGTAAGTGTTGAAGCACATCCCTGACCACAGGACAGCCCTCCCTCCCCTGCTCTGGCAGAGTGACGGGAAGAGCCTGGATGTTTTCTGCTGCAAGGAAGCTCTGCTGTGCCCATGGCCCAGCCCTGCTCCTCCCTGGAATGGAGCCACTGAGAAAAGGCTTCAGGGCTGCACCTTTAATCCAGATTTACACAGTATTTCCAAGAATGAAAGCAAGCCCCTCTGCTGCTCCTGCTTTTCTTCAGGGCATCCCCCCATCCACTGCTGTGCACAGCCAGAGCTAAGGGACAGGCTTGGACGGGGGTTATTTCTCTGTCACTTGAGACAAGTGCTCAGGCTGACCAGAGGATTCCTGAAGGGCTGAGAGCAGCCCTGCCCGGTGACTGCTCAGGTTTCAAATAAAAACCTGAGCATGTTAAGAAAAACCACAGGGTGGCCAAGAGAGACAGTGCTTCACAAAACACAACCAGCAATTTTCTCCAGTACAGCAGGGAGAGAGCAAGCATAGTCTTTCAGCAGCTGAATTCCATTGCTTCTGTTGGTGCCACAGCCCAGCTCCTCTTGGCTTTTCAGCAACGGTCTGTACTTGAGTCATAAGCCCTGTTACACAGTATCACAATACAAACTGCATCCTCTGTCTGCTAAGGCACAAAGATCCCAGTGTGATGGAAATTCAGATTTAAGCACCATGCCAGAGGACATGCTGACATATGATCATTGCAAAGTAATTAAAAAATCAACCAATATAACCCAAATAGTAATACATCTGGGACAGTCTTCAATTTACTGGTCATATGCTCTAGCCTTTATTTGCATCCAAAAAACAGTTGGCTCTAAGGACAAATTTCACCCTGAGTTACACAAGCTACGGGAGTCCCTGCTGCACTGCTTGTATCAAAAGACATTTAGAGTGGAGTGGCACATCCCAGATCCCAGTCTGCCAACAGAGACTCAGGACAACATTGAAACGTGGGCCATCATGAACAGTGAACAGAGCAAGGGAAAACATCAAAGCTGGGGCTTTGAGACTGCTGTGCTGAAGAAAACGTGTCAGCCAAGACAACCTGAGCAGATCAGAGCCTGCTGTCAGACTACAGGAGTTGGCTGATGTACTCCCTTGGTGCTCCCATGAGATGAATTTCCTCTTTGTAACAGTTCTCCTTGTCACTCCCCAATTCTCTTGCAATCTCCTGCCTACTCTGCTACTACCCCAGTTAGCTCTGTCTGCCTCCAAACCCACTTTTCCCTCCAGATGATCAGAGCGAGGCAACAATCACCTCTCAGGAGTTCTGAGCTTTAGTTCCCGATTGTAAAATGACCGAAGGGTCTTGTGTCTCACCAGCCCAGTGAGAACAGCATAATTTGCTAGGAACTATTACAGACTTTGTGAGACGTGGTGGTGATGATTCCTACCCCAGAGTAACACGTGATTTGCTTTCCCACTGTGTCTTCCTCGTGTACTAGCAGGTAACTGCTGTGCAAGTAGGTCAGTAGTACAGCACATTAGACTGAGCTGCTGAGATTTGGGAACAAAACTGCTCCCCGTCTCTCTGGTAAAGTGGTTTAGCATACACAGTAGAGAGTTTTCTTTGAGCCTGCTGGTATAAATCTGAATATTCAACATCTCATTGCTGGGAGTAATCTGGGAACAGGGAGCCTGAGAAGATAACACACAGGTACGCTGCTCCATGGATTATTCGTATAGCATCTTTCCTCTGATTCCCCAAATATCTGTACCCACTGTGAGAAAAGCTACCTCACAGCCTCATGGCATGATACTCTAAAAGACATATACCAGGTTTAGAGACTACTGTCAGTCAAATTAAATCTGTTTGGTATAGTATGCTCACTTGAAGACCATCAAAATGTTTTTGAAAGGAAAAAATTTGCCTTGCAAGGCTTGAACTGACTAGTGAAGTCTTTTCAAAATTCCCTTTCCTCTTCTGCTTTGCTCCAAGCCAGCTGGAGGCAGAGGTCATACCACCTTAAACTCTGCTTTGTATTTTAAATAATATGCCATAGGCTTGGTTCCCTGGCTTTAAACCCTTCATTATCTTTCAAACAGGTGAAAAATGGTCACATTTTGTTAGCCCAAGGACATGAAGTGACGGTGGAGGTGCAGGCTGGGGGTGGGAGCAGCAGCTTCTCAGGAATCAAACTTCAAACCCACATAACCCCCTGTGGAAACACATCCCTTACCCACCGTGGCTATGTCAGGGTGGTCTTTGCTGACATTCCCAGGGCAACCATGATGGTTTCATCCGGGATGCTGCTGGGCAGGTAGGGCAGGGCACAGAACCGCACTGGGCTGCTTGAGGGGACGCCTCACCCTGGAGCATCCCCAATACATATCAAAAAGGCTCAATTTTTCCCAAGTAAGGAGCATCCAGCGTTTCTCTGGGCTGACAGTGCCTGCTCCTCTGCCAGCAGCATTTTCCCAGAGCGCTGGACCCCTCTGTTGGGCAATGTGCCCACAGACACCAAGTCAGGACTGGCTGCCTACGGAGCTGCCCATGGCGCGCTCCCCTCACTCTACACAGACCTTGCAAAAAGCAGCCTGGAACCCAAGCTGCCACTCACTTGTTACTTGTTTGTCTCCAGCAGTTAAAATAAAGCCCAGAGAAGAGGCCAACAGGTCTGGTGGTTCAAACTGGAGATTAAAAGAAAAAATTACCTCAGAGTGTCATTGGAGCAGGCCCTGGGTGTGTCCTCCACCATCGCACCTCACAGAGCCGTGTGAGCCCCGGCCTGAGCCCACAGCAGGCTGGGCGCTCCTCTGCTCTGCACACATGGCACCTGTGACAGGTCCTGGCTCCCAGCCTCCCAGCCACGGCCAGCGGTGTCCCAGCTCTGTCCTGGTCCCTCATGGACAAAGCCTGCAGTGCTGCTCCCAGGATGGCCCCTCCAGCTACAGCCGGGAGCCTCGGCCTCTCCAGGGGCTGCCCACAGCAGTTTTCCCTCAGGACTCCACGGGGAACTGCTGCCTTCGGTTTAAGCGTGAAACTCCCCTCAGCACAGGCCCTGGGTGATCACTGCTGGCCCTGCCAGGTCAGACTGCCCCAGGACACAGCTCCAGGCTGTGCCCTCCCCACAAACAGCTCACTGCTCCTCCAGGAAGGAGCCACAGCATGTGCTCATCAGCTACACGGGCCAGTACATAATTGTATTTAAGTCACATAAAAAAGCTGGAGCCAAAAAGCTGCAAACAGCTCCCAGCTTGAGTTCCCATCAATTGAGAAGGGCAGCTCTGTTGGTGGAGACATGGGTTGGTCCCGTGAAGCTTGGGCTTGGAAATTTAACACAACTGTGGATGTCAGGGAAGGCATGTACTGAGCAAACATCTTCCCTGGTGCCATCTGCGTAACTTAGGCAAAGTTAATAAAGTTGGTGTTTGGGCAGGTGAGAACAGAACTGGGCAATCCTTCTTTAAATGAAGGACAGAAATAGAGGTGGACCAGGGAGGAAGGTAAGGAGCGACACTGAATCAGTCACCCACCACAGACAATGCTTTAGTCATGCAGGGAAAGCAAATAATTTATTTACATATCTGATTGTACATTACAGTTACCTGAAGGACCCACATCAGCAAGGACAGCTTTATTGTTCCCAAAAAGTATTTCAAGAAAATACAGAGAAAATAGTGTAATGGCACATTGCAACAGTACTGACATCACTTCACTGATGTTATAAATTACAGAATGAGATTAAAAATAGTCATATGCCACTTTTGCTGGCTGCTTTTTTTCAGTAATAATGGAACAAGTGAACTTTGCTCATTTTCATACCAAGCAGCCTTTGACATAAAAAATACCACCTCCTTGTTTCTAAGGCAGCTTTATATTCTGTGAAATGGGTGTCAAATTCAGTCCAAAAATTTCTGCTCTATGAGAGTGGGCCATATTCTTTTATAGATAAAAATTTCGTTTTTTGAAAGATTTAGGGATATTGATGATTTTTTTCCTTGAGACTTACCACAGTTTATTACTCACTGTGTCCGAGGGCTGGTGAGTGGGGTATTGATATACAACAAGGTGTGAGAGAGGGAACAATTTGAGGATCTCGTCAGATGAGCAGGGTCAACACTCCAGAAATTAAACCACCAGCTCGAGAAGAGGCTGGAGGGAGGGAAGGACACTTCTAGGACCAGGGCCCTCATTGCCAGTTACAGATGTCCACAAATGCTTTGTGGACATCTGTAACTGCTACACAGCTTCACAAATGTTATGGCAGAGTGCTGTGCTACTAACCCCAAGGGAAGAGGTTTATTCAGCATCTGTCAAAATGTGAAGGGCAAGACACCCAATCTCTCACATCTGCAAGATGGAATGCAGATCCAGGGTCTGTCCTTAGAAAACGCTGCCACAAAAGCCAGGCAGGGAAGACAAGGAGTAACTAAAGCATTTTAGGCACTCTAACATGGGAGAGTCTATGAATTGGTAATGCTATTTCTTTTTCCATTTCAATGGTCATAGTATATCACTTGCCTGATCCCACAAAAATAATCCCAGAATAGAAGCTAACCTGAAATGGGCAATGTGTTCAAATGAGGTTTTGGTCTGGTGCCCATTTCAAGTATAAAAGGAAGCAAATTTGCTTTAATGGAAATAAAAACTATAATCACCAAGTCAGGACTGTAACATTTAATTAAGTGTTTTATTATTTTGAATTAACTTAAGCCAACAAGTGGATAGAATTGGTCTCAAAACAATACTAAAACAATAAATCCGCAGTGTGTGTGACATTGCCTTACAAGAGACCAACCATCTGACACAACATTCCTAAAAGAAGACAAAGAACTGCTAATTATGTTAAATTTCATTTGCTATGTAATTTAGACCGTGACCTAGTGCTTCTAAAAAAACCTGTACAAAATGAATATTTTTTACATCTCAGAGGCACATGAATACAAATCTGATCTATTTTATATATACACATGTACATTGCAAGAAACCAGATGATTAAAGAAGTGTATATAAAAAGTGTCCAAAACCAGATGATAAAATGTGAAAATAAAATGTATCCTCACAACAGAGAAGTAAAAGGCACAAGTACTAAAATATGTAACCATGCAAAAAAAGTGACTAGTCTGTGCAACAGAGAAAAACAAATGGCTCTCACAACTGATTTTACAGTAATTCTCAAAATGTCTCAGCATTTAAATATATATCAGTGCAACATTTACTGCCCTGTAGTGTACTGAAATATTCACAGGATACAAAATTCTTGGTTCTTCTTCTGATGTCCTTTCTCCAAAGCCAGAATAATGTAGCTATGGATAAGGTAGTAAATAAATCAGAGCTGATGCTGGGGAGTGTCAGTTCATCACTGGGAGGATGCTGGGAGTGTCTGCAGCCCCCTTACCCCTGCACACATGTCCCCCAGGACAGTCACCTGCCACCTCTCACTGGGGCACAGCAGCTCTGAGGGGTTTCCAGGGTATCACTGTGCCCCGAACAGTGACAGCAAAGCTGACAGCTCAGGTGTCCCAGCCGCTCCACTCACAGCACCTCACTCCAGGGCTAGGTGTCCAAATTACACTGCAGAAGCCCATGTTTGTTAATGTTTTCATTAGGTTTAAAGTCTAAGTAAAAACTAATCTCTCTGACAGTATGTTTGAGCAGGTACTACTTTTGCAGTGGAACAAAAGCCCCAGCTGAAGCCAGCAGGGCGCAGAGGACAGCAGGAGCCCTGTCAGCTGGCTCCACGCTGCGGCAGACTGGGGTAGCGTGGCTCTGCCCGCAGGTTTTGGCTGCGATCCTCACGGGCTGCTGCTGCACCTCTGCGATGTGCTGGCCACACTGAGCCTCCAGAGTGTGTCAGCAGAGCATGCAGTAGGACACCTGGACAGAGCTGAGGCACATCCCAGGGATCCCTCACCTGGATCACCTCCAGCTTTACTCACCTCACCTGCTTCTATACCATGAGAACCAGCAACATTTTGTCATGTACATGGGACACAGCCAGTTTTCACAACCACAAAAAAGGCAAGGACAGGACTGGCCTGGTATAGAGACAGGACTAAAATTCTTGCCTTGGTAGCTGAAATCACACTGAAGCCAAGAATATTGAATTTGTCCCTCCCATCTGCTCGAAGTGCTGCCCCAAGGCACACAGACACCTGACAGTGGCTGGGGACAAGACCAAGAGTGTAAATGTCAACAGAGCACTGACGAAGAGTCTCAGAAAGAAACAACTCTCTTGCACATCGGAGCGACTCCCAGTGCATTATGCAGAATGACAGGATTCAGACCCAGCACTGACTGCAATCTTCATGAAACTCTAAAGCTACATCAGAGTTTCATTAACTACAAACCCATGCATGATTTAACAGCAAACTGCTCCTAGGATCTTTGAATTCAAAAATACTGAGATGCAAAGGAACAAAATGTCAGAACTGTGGAACTATGTCCTTTAAAACCAACCAGTCGTGATTTCTTGACAAGGTATCTTGAGTAACAAATGACTTGACAAGAATACAAGCATTGCTGCTTACACCAGGAGCTGCCCAGTTAAAGTCTGAGTCAAGTTTTCACTTAGATCAGTATAAGCCAAGCCACTGATTTGGCAAGTGTTTGATCAGCTGCTACTTCCTCCCTTCCTTGGAAAATAATCCCTCAGACCACACCATACAGTATTTGTTTTAAGAGAAAACCACTGCATATTCACTGGCATTAAAGAATGTAAGAAAAGCATTCTTTATTTGTAAATTCTAGTTCTTAGACTCATCACATGTCACAGGCATTATGATGCACAGACCACTAAGCAATGCCTCATGTAGCAGCCCACAATGTGTGTTTATCTATCAGCTTCCAAACCCTCATTTACAAACCAGATTAGGGAGCCTAAATACTGTTGGTCGAGATCCTCTCTGGAGAGCAATGCAGTTCTACCAAAGTAAATGGAGCATTGCTGCACTCAGACAGCAAAATATTTGTTGATACACATCTTTGAGAATTAATAATGCTGTGTTCAACTCCCTACAGAGCTGGCTAAGAAATATCTGAATTTTTCCCAAAGACCGTGAAAGGAAAGTTGGCAACAAAAGTTCATTGGATGCTGGGTTTCTTTGAAACTTCCTACATATTTGCATATTTAAAATTCCTTTAAAATAGTTCATTAGTGTTGCACTTCAAGAAAAATTCTTTAACAGCTTGTCTTAAATAGAAGCTATTCAAAAAGATGAAAAATCTTTTGATGTCAAAGCAGTTTTGAAAAAGCATCATTCAGAACTAGGCAGCAGCTGAAGACTGAAGTCTGGAAGGAAGCAGCCAATACCAGAAAAATCTTGAGACACTACTAGTTTCAGGTACTCTTTTAAGTGCAAGTTTTGAAAGAGGTAATTTTTCTGCAGTACTTTGTGTGGGATTAGCCTGACCAAGGACAGCTTCTAGTCAAAAGCCAGTCTTTTCCCTTTTTTTTACTGTCCACAAATACCGGCCGTAGTTTGCAACAGGTTTAACTAGAATATAATTTAGCTTTTCAGAATCAAAGGTCAAATGAACAAAGGAACAGATCACAATATGGTACCTGGGATTGTGTTTGCACCCCCAAGGGTTAAACAGAACCATGGGTTTGACACAGGAATGTTTACTTACTGCATCTGTGTATTGCTAGAAGGAGATGATACCACATTTCTGTGTCTGAAGTGATTTACCCAGAGAAGGGAGACCCTTGTTCCATCAACAAGGCAGGCTGTACTTTCCTGGCCAGCCTGGGAACACAGGATGTCCACAGCAAAGAAGTAAGAAATTTATCAGAGAACAGACAGCAAAATTAGTGTCTCCCTATTTGCAACATCTCCTGTCTGTTCTGCCAGTGTCTGTCTGACACTTGATCAAAATATGCAGTCTCTGCAACAATGGTATCAGATTACTCTTCTCCCTGCCCCAGTGAGCCATCAAGTGATCCTTTATTACCAAATTACCTGCGTGTCATAAACCACAATGACTTCTTCTCTGGTATAAAAGGGTTCTCCAGGGCTTGAGTTGCAAGACGAGTTGGTCTAATATCTGTAGTTACTCAGCCAAAGAATGCAATTGCTAATTAGTATTTTTAGAGGTGGATACCTTAGAGGAAAATATATCTGCCAGTGAAATGTCTCTCCCACCTCCAACTCACATTATTTTTCAAACATAGTAAGTATCTGGATATGATTTCCACAGTAACAGATGGCAGTACCACACCAAGGGCCCCACAGGAGCAGAAGGATACCTCCTTTACACAATACAACACCGCTACACAGCTGGGTACAGAGCTGAACAAGAAGTCCTGCAAGTTTTAAGAAATTTCCACTGCTGGGTATCCTTTGCTAGAATATCCCTTTTGGGATATCAGCCAGATTCAGTGACTACTTGTCACTACTAGTGACTGTTCACCTCCTACATATAATTATCTGCACAAAAACTTGGCTATCGGTATAGTAATGTCTTCTGTTCTAGTCCATGGGCTTTGCTTTCAGTGAAACAGTCCTCAGCATTTGCTGATGTTCCACCCTAATGGGAATGGGCTTTAGATCATTGAAATTTTGAAGCCAAGTCCAGTTTACTTAAAAATAACTAGGGGAAAACATTCAGTCACCAGCCTAAGCTGCAACAGCTTCACTCTTCTTGAAATCCACTGCATGAGAGCAGCACAGCAATGCAACACAGTCAGCCCCAGAAGCAGGGCTGCTGGGTCACCCGGCCCTGCTGGTCACAGCAGGTTTGCAACAGTCCCCTGACAGTGTGGAAGAGTTCTCTATGGCTACAAAGAGTGAAGTCTCTGGCACTACCCACAGACAGCACCTGGCAGAGGGAAATGCCATCACTAAAGTGCAAGTGAGGAATCCTGCAGGCAGGAAGCACCGAGCTGGCTGAATTGTTTCTCTCCCACCTTCTGGGCGGCACATCCAGAAGAAGCAGCAGGTGGGAAAGGTGGATGTGTGGGGTTTCCATGGCATTCCACCTACTTCTAAACAAACAGAAGCTGTGTTACATCTGACACCGTTCCCAGGTGGCAGAAGAGCGGTCTTTAAATCCTTTCCTCCAGATTACCCCAGAGCCGCAGGAACCCAGCCCTGTGACAGGACTGTTTGAACCAGACTGTCCCATTTCTCCCAGAGCACTGCAGATCTTTGTGCACTGGGTGTTGTGTCCCTCAGTCATTCCTCTGGTTCCTCTCTCTTTCCACTTACTTTACACCTGCCTATGCAGATACATAGAAACCATCTATTATTATTTTCTTGCCTGCAAGAAAGCCTGATTTCAGTATGTCCCCTACTTCCCATCACTCCAGTAACACATCACTGAAGGCAAGAGCACAGAGATTGCAGAAAAAAAAAATATATTTACATCCCTAACTGAATACAGTTTTATGTATTCAAATTCAGGAAAAATGCATCACATATACACACCAAGATACATCAAGAGAATACTAGGGGCAAGACACTGCCAACAGCAAGAAATACACAGAAAAGCACAGTCATTGCTACTGTAACATTCTTATGGGGAGTGTTTTCAATAGAAGAAACATCTCTATGTATTGGGGAAAGCCAGATACTCCAGCTGATTTTTCTGTGCCAGTTGGTGTGAATCAAAAGTGTGAAACTCTTACTTTAAAAAAAAGTGCATGGAATAAAATTTGTTTTTAGCATTCAACTACCCAAACAATTCCATAAGCTCCTTATATAAGCTACATTATTAATTAAAAACGTCCTAGCCCCACAGTATAGATCCAGCTCTGGAAAACACAGGCACATGTTGAAGTCATCCCTATTTAAGGCAGCATTTAAGCATACGCTCAACTTTAAAGCTTTTTGTTCTGTCCCACTGACGTCCATGAGTAGATGCAGCACACACTTAAAGTTAAGCACCTGCACAACTGCTCATCTAAATCGGGATGTGCTACCTAGCAGAGCTTTAGATATGCACGTGTGTGCTCAGTCTGGACTGGCAACTCCTGCAAGATGAAGCTGTTTTTCTTTTTCCTGTCCTATAGGTAGAAGCCACTCCGTAGCAGACTGTCCTCCACTGCTGTGCCAGGAACCAGCCACTCCTCTGCACAGCCTGCCCAGAAAATGCCATTTCAAAGGAGTGCAGCTGTCTGGGGTGGGAAAGCAACTCAGCATGTCATGGAGAGGGCTGGTCCTCCTCCTCCTCCCCTGAGGTGAGATATTTCATGCAAATATTTTGTTGTTGTTGTTATGTTTCTTTTTTTGGTAAGAAGTGGAATGTGTTCCTTCAGTGAAATCTTTAAAATCAGGGTGAGGGGAAGGGGTAGAATCCCAGAATTCATCTTAATGGCCCACAATATACCCCTGAAAATAGGGGAACATATTTGAAAAGCTCTTTGCCTCAATGCTACAGGGACCCTGCCATAAAAAACACACATGCACACACACTAGAGAGCAGGCTCAGAGCATCCGAAAGCAGGTTCCAAAGTGATCTTACATGAAAAACACTTTGTGCAGACAGTGGCAAACAAATGGATGGTGATTTTTCATAAATAGCAAAAATTCTGCAGTATCTTCCTTTTCTTCCCATGTACTTTGTGTCTTTTCCCAAATTTTGTGGGATTTTTGTCGTGGATTCTCTTTTTTTTTTTTAATCTGATGTGTGGCTTAAGTACTAAAACTAAATCAAATAGGAAATTACAGAGTCAGCACCAGTCAGGAACTGAACCTGGGTATGTCAATTAGTTTGTGGTACCCAAATTCCTGGAAGAACGAAGAAAAAATTCTTGCTCCTAAATATGGAGCCACATCCATATGTTTCCATTGTCTATTTTTACCTTTACAACTAGAGGTAGAGTCATTTTGTCCAGTATCTAAAACAGCATGATCCAGTTATATTGTTACATTAATATACAGTATATCCATCTCATCACAGGTATTGAAAGTGCATGGAAAAAGTCTAACCAAGCCAATTCAATGACAAGTAACAGTGTACCAAACATCATATAAACACACCCGCGCACCCACACTCACACCTAGTGTGTATTATATAATTTATAGATTCATTTACAGTATCAGAGTGCTGCTTAAATCCAGTGGCATGTGCAGAAATATCAGGCAGTTGCTGTTTTTCCTTCTCATATTCTCTTCAATTCTTTATTTCCAAGATAGATGGATTGTGGTCCAGGATTGCCAAAATTATCTTGTCCATATACTGTCGCAATCTGTAATTTATCTCTTCCTGTTCTTTGAGGGCTTCCATGAGCTAAAACACAACATTTCCAAGTTACTCCTGAAATATTCTCAGTATTTTATGTAACAGCCTGAAATTGAGACAGGTGAGAGACCAATGCCTGCTCAGGACCTCCAATTCCTTTTGTGACAGGTTTTCTAACTGCAGCTCCTCCTGTATTTATAATACAGAATTAGAAACAATTCTGTAAGTTACAGATCTTTGCCATCAAAGAAGGAGGTGAACAGTCATCTTCAGGGACCTTCTAGCAGGTCATCTGAAACAAGTTCCCCATCTAACAATGCCAGTCCATCCTGCATCCATACCATGGATCAACTGCTTCATCTCAGAGCAAGCGCTTCATGATAATAATTTTTTTTCATAACTACTGAAATCTAAAGGTGTTTGCATGAAAGACGGTTGAACAGAACAAGCATTCCACTGTTTTGCACCAGGAAAAAATATGTGCTTCCTCTGGATCACGTGCATACTCTCTCTCAAAAGAAACCCCAAAACAACCACTACATACTCCATGAGAACAGCCCAATTGCTAGTCAATGTTCTGTATTAAATACATGTGTTTCACCAGATTTTTGGGCTTGTAAAAGGCCCCTCAACCTCTCTAAAGATGAAGACTACTTTACTTTTCATCTCTGAACGTTTAGTGACAAACTGACAAAGCTGCCAAGGCATGTCAGAGCCCCAGATCCTCCTGAAGATGTTATTTGCCTGTCCATTTTCCTAAGACTGCACAGAAGCCCCACCCTGAATCTGCAGATTGTTACCTTTGCTCTGATCATACAGGGAAAATGGCACAATGGGAACAGTTTGTGCAGGTCTGTGAGGTTTTGCTCAGGCTGGGCCACAGCTTTCCTCCTTTAAAGAGGATGTGCTGGATATGCCTCACATGAGCCAGAGCCATGAGATCGAGAGAGACAAAGTCAGATTTTTCTTGACAATAGCAAAAGCCAGTTTGCCTTTACCTAATTAGAGATCAACAAGTAAACAGCCTTTCTTCACAGTGCTCTGGTTCAGCAAGAAATTAAGTTCTCAAGTATATAATTCAAGGGCCTTCACTTCAAGGGCCTGCCCAGGAGCTAAGGCTGACAGGTCAGTCCAGTACAGACTGGGTGAAAAGGACTTTTGTGTCTCACAGCTTTTCTTGATGAAGAAATGGGAAGTTCTGTCTGGAAGAGATAGAGCATCAGGGACAAACAATTCCTTTGATCTCCTTCACCACTAACCTGTCTTGTTGCCTGGGAGCTCTCATGTACCCATTGGCCTGATCCCACAATCTGTCCTGGAGCACAGAGGAAGCTACACCAGCTGGACTCAGCCCACATACAAATGGGTTTCCCAGAGTATCTTTCGAAGCATTACCAAATTACTATTGCACACAAGTTACTTTCTCCAAGAATTCAGCTCTGGTACAGGGAATATGTAGCTCAAATATGTAAGTGAGAGCTTGTTACTGAAGTAAGATAGAACTAAATCTAGAACACTATGTAAAAATTGAAGTAACTATCAATGATCATTTTTATATGAAATTAATGTCATACTCTCACATTACTCTGCAAGATACAGGATGTCAGAACTGCAAAACAGTTCACTGAGATTGTAATAATTCCAATTTTTTTGAGAAAAATGGGAGAGTTATAAGGATAGCAAAACAGTGTTACATTTAAGGCAACCTCCTAACACTCCTGACATCCTAGCAAAGCAGAATTTTCTGTTGTTCATTTGTCAACTTCAGATGGTTCAACCTTGACAGTTAATTACATTGAAACTTGCATATTCTTGCATGTAGTACCTGATTAGAAAAGCACATTACCTCATCTCTCGATGCAGAGTCGATTTCAGCAGCCAGTGACTGGGCTTTTGTTTGCGTTGCAAAGAGGTTTTTAGCTTCATAAAGACTGAGGCTTAGAATCTGTCCATTAAGATCATCATTTTGGTCACGAAGTTTCTGATTCTCCTATTTAAGGACGAAAACACATTGTTTTTTAAGTTCCTCCTACAAGGTTTCATTAAAAAAAATATGTATTTTAACATGGCAGGTCGCTTGGATGACATACAGCAAGGCTGCAGCTGACAGCAACTCTTGCCTCCAGTGACAAGGCCTCTCCACCTCAGTTTTCCTGGGGCATAATTTGTATCACCAGTGCAAAGAAGTCCTGCACAGATGCAACAAGGCTCTTGTGCTTGTGTGAGAAAGGAGGGGACAAAATCTGAAGGCAGAGTGCTTGGGCTTGCATTTTTCAAGGTATTCCTGTACATTTGACGTGGAATGAGAGGCCCTTCCCTGCTCACCTGCTTCAACCGTTTTATTTCATGCTCCATTTCCACCTCTCTGGTTTTGGCATTGAATTCACTCAGGCTGGAGGAAGAGCTTCTCCCACGTCCAGGACGTTCACATTCCAGCTTGTACAGCTGCAGGTGCTCCAGTTCCTTCCGCAGGTCTTCGATGAGCTGTGGGCAGCAAACAGGCCCTGTCTCTGCAAATAGCCCCCTCTGTACTCAGGCAAAAGCACTCCCTGAGCTTGGCTGAGGCCACAGTCCTACAACACAGCCTCTTCTTCTTCCTCCTTTGCAAGCACAGGTCCCCTAAACCACCCCAGAGCTGGCAATGGTTGTGATTGCTAAGATTCATGCACGAGAAGCATAATTTCCCTTGCGAACAGAGTGGAACATGAGGGCACACAGTTCTCAAAGAGCTGTAAACTCTTTGGGTTACGGATTGGCACTTATTAAGTATTTTTGCAGCTTTCATTGCTCTGTGGGTACCCTTCCCACAGAAACACAATCCAGCAATAGCTTCACTGGATGTGTTGTTCTCAGTGCTCATCCTGTCTGCCCATTCCTTCTCCCTGGGGTTTCCATGCAGGTGATGAGACTGCCTGGCCTTACATCCTCTTCACACTTACCTCCTGTGTGGCTTCCCTCTCCTTGTTGAATTCCAGCCTGTTCTGCCGCAGCTTGTCCATCATCCTCTTGTACAAATCCATCTCATCCTTCAGTCGCAGACTCGTGTCCTCCAGCCTGTCTGACATGCGCTGCCTCTCCTGGAACGAACAGAACTTCAGAACAGGCTGGCAAGAGCAGGGCACAGCTCAGCTTCACACCAGGAACCTACAGACACTGCTGGCCATAAACTGCCTTGAGCCTCAGGATGTTCCTGCCCCTAAAGGGGTGACCAATGTTCCAATTCCATTAATTATCTTGTTTAGGGAAGGAAAATTTAAGAAGCTGGGCCAAGCACTGTAAGAGTTTGCCCTTACATAAACTGCTGTTAAATTGCTCAAGGACTCAGGAGTTTTGTTACCTCATCCAATCTCTCTGTTTGGGATTTCAGCCGTGTGACAGTGCTTTTCAGATCACCATTTTCTTCTTCCAGTTGCTGAACCCTGTGTTAATAACAAAAATCTTACAGCAAATACCTCTTCAAGAACACAGACATGCAAAATAGCATGCTCTAAAAAGCCATCTCACTTGCACTTGATAGAAAGACCAAATAGGGAAAATCTAATCATACCACTCTCTAACATGCTTGTTCATTTTTAGGGCCCAAAGTGCTACAGAACCTCAGATTCTCATGCTCCTAACAACAGGTAGCTGAAAAAATGTAAGCTGGAAAAAACAAATGCAGGCACAAGTGTTTGCTAGAACTGGTCACAATTCCCTCCTTGAATCTGTGCCAAATATCCAGTTAAGCTGTTCTACATGGACCACGTGGATTAAAGCATTAATGTAAAGCATCCTCCAAGCTTTTGGGCATTAGACATGTGACTGCAGAGCTGCTCTACAGAGCTGTCAACCTGCCACCATCTGTGCACTGTCTGCTGGTGAACAGCCTACATTTACAAGCAGAGTAAAAATGAAGAAAAGAGGACCTTTTGCCCTGTTCAGGGTGGCATCAAGATGTTTGTTACCTTGTATTTAGTAGTTCAATTTCGGTGCCTTTCTCTTTTTCATACTTGCTGTAAGCTTCTCTATGTCTCTTTATCTCTTCTTCCAGAGTCTGTTCTGCCGATGTTTCTTGGTCCTTCAATAATTCCTCTAGCTCATGAACTCTAGTGAAATCAGATCTCATTTCAGTAACAGCTTCAGAAGCAAATTCATTGCCTCATTGCCTCTCTCTTTCCTGCCTACTCCTTTGTTTCATTCTAGTTCACCATCTCTTTTGGCATTTAACCTCTCCCAGTATCTCTCATATTTAATTGATACTACTTAATTCTGTTTACTAGTAATCTAGTATTCTTTCAGTTTCATGAAGCTGGGACTAAGACCCAGCCTTCTGCTCTTGCTACATGCAAGGAAAAAAACCCCAACCAGCAGAGGTAACCTCTCTTACAGCAGAAGAGTTTTCTCTTACAAGTCAGTAACATCTCTGTCAAAAACACTTGTCTGGAGGCCTCTTCTTGCTGAAAATTCAGCGAGGCAGACCTATTCCACCTGGACTTCTCAGATGAAGCCTTACTTCATCTGTCAGCATAAAGGAAGTAGACTTGGTCATACTCTAGAGGTAGAAATATTCCTTCCCCACAGATGTGCTGATGAAGAGACTTAGCTCAGTGCTTTGTTACCTGTGAACCAGCTGTGTGTTCTCTTGTTTCAGTTTGCTCTTCAGGTCACCATTTGTCAGGCTATCATTCTCCAGTTCTGTCACCTTCTTCTCTAGGTATGTTACCTGGAAGAACAAGCAAAAAAGACTGAGTTTTAATCTCTCTTCAAACCCCCCATTCACTGTTCCTAACTGGCATTTAGCTATTCTACCATTTTAAAACAGAGCACATTTCTCTGCAAAGCCAGCAGCTAAATTAAACTCCAGAATTCAGAGCTCCCCAGACCCTGCATGTTCCTTGAAGGTGATCACTGCAAATACACCATAAGGAAGTCCTAACACAATGCCTAGATCTGTGCTTGCTCAGTTCTTGCCTTACTGCCAAGCAAAGTTATAATAGTAATGGAACATCAAGGACATTTTGAATAAACTACTTCAGATTATGGGTAATTCTGAGCAAGATCTTGATCCCCTGATGCTGGGCTCCAGCAGGATTTGGTTGGGTACATTACTCACAGAGCACAGAGATTCTCACCTTTTCAGTGATATCATTATCACAGGAGTCTATACTGTCTCTGAACAAGTCTTCTGTGCTGCCATTGCTGCTGCTGAAGTTACTGTTGTGGAAGAGTTGTCTGAAAGATCAGAAGGATCATTATTTTGCTTGATGAGGAGGAAGGACAAAGAGTCTGGCTTCAGACTTTGAACATCTGATGGTAAAATCTGTGCAATCATTTCATTGACAATTACAACTGTTTAAGCCCAAGTCTCACAAGAGACTGGTAGCTAAATGAAGTCCTACTGAGCACAGTCAATGACATTAGTTCTATGGAGTGAGTTCTTTGTTGCTTTTGATATGATCTGCCACAAGCATTAACATAGTTTAAAAAATATTAAGTCTTATTCAAACTATGCACTACATTGTATTTGCCTTATTACAAACTTAAAATAAGGTCACCACTGCACATTGGTTGGTACAGTTAAGCTAGAAAATTTCATACAGTGAGAACTTTAAAAAAAATAGAAAAAAGAAATCTCAAGCCGTTCCAACTGCAGAATAGTGTCAGAATATGTAACACTGGAGATTATCTAAAACGTCCTTGAACCTTACAGCCCTCCCCAGCCCAGGGCAGGGTCACTCAGTCAAAACAAGATGACAATTCTGTATGTCCTTTTTAAAGAGGTGCTCTTGCTTTCCTTCACATTTTGGCAACAGCAGTAAGGCCCACATTATGAGGGTTAAATAAACAGTATCTGGACTGATGGAATAGCAGTACAAAGAATACATCTGGAAGACAAGGAAGCAAAAACTATATTTTTAACAGACCTCTTTCCAGTTCAGGGGCCTGCTCCAAGAGTAGCAGGGGCAACATTCATAGCCGAACACAGGCCCCTTCCCTTAAAAATTTATTTTGGTACATTTTTGTTTTTCTAAAATTATTCCTACTTTTTGTCTCCCACTTATGGAATTGTTATGGCTGATTCCACAAATATTCATGGAAAACTTGAAGACTCTTACCTTCCAAAAGCTGTGCTTGATATTTTCCTGTTAGGGCTACATGGATACAGAAGGAATGATATAGGAATTAAACACGTATTTGATTCAATTTCGATTGCATAATGAAATACAATGAACCTTTTTTAGCCTACTCAAAGATGATTCTGTGAACAATATTCTTTAACAACTGAATCAAAAGCTGCAATTACTAAGAACGTAAAGATGAGTGAAGCCACAAATTACTGTGATCATTAATAAGTCAATTTGCAAATACTGTTACATGTAGCAGAGATTTGTCAGTGTAAATCAGAGCAAAACTAACATTAGAAATACCACAAAGGGACACCAAGTTAGTGATGGACATTTATTCTGGATTTCCAGTTTTAGATGATTTTATGAACAGTTAGTTTATCTTCCCCATAATGCTTCCCAGTTCAGCACAGGAACTGAGGTCTTTCCAATTTTACAGTTCCCTTGTGCAGCCAGAGACTGGTGCTATCTAAATGAAGACCCCTTGCTGCAGACAGCACTGGAACCAGATCAAAATATCCTGCTGCATCTCTCGGTAAGAGGATGTCACATTTCTGTGTGCTAAGACACAGCTCTTGGTCAGGTATATCCAGCCTCCCCAAGAAAATTCCCAAAGCCCTGGCTGGTGGTGGTCTGGATGTTGGCAGACTCATTCCTAGGGCAGGAACATTGGTCATGCCAAGCTCTCCACTGCTGTGCATCACAAGAAGCAGCAGTGCAGCGTACTGCATCCCAAGGATTACACTGACAGGCAGGACTCACATCCAGTTTCTAGGGGGAGCTAAAATCCCACCAAATAATTCCCTTCAAAAACTGTAGGTGATTGTTAGAAGCACTTTTTAAGTGCTCAGCACAGCTTCCGAGTGATAGAGTGGCAGAGAGAGAAACATAAGGAACAGGCTGAAATTGCAATGAACTCCAAAAATAGCTTCTGCCATAGGATTCATCATTTTTCCAAGTTCCCTTGACATCACAAAAAAAATCCCAGAGAAGCCAAGTACCTCTGCTGACCAGTAGCTTTAGGAGAGGTGTATGTAAGGTTATGTGAATTAGCCAAGGATCTGGAGATCCCTCCTTCCCACCTGGAGAAAGCAGTAGCTAACTGTAGATCTGTACTAAGCAGCACAGCAGATCCCACTTCCTGGGAAAAATTCCTTGAAATATCACTCTTACTCTGAAATCAAAGAGCTCATTGGTTAAAATATTTGAGTTTAGTAATGAAGTCTGCAGCTTAAATCAGAAAAATACTCAACAGCTGATGAAGAGCAGCATTTTGGTTTGGGCTACATATCCAAGTTTAAATTCCTCACTTTTTTGTAAGAACAGCACATGTGTAAGATGGAATGGGATACTGAAGGGAGAGGGTGTGCTCTCCCTCTCCTCCTGCTATTAGCCAGTCCCATGTCAAGGGGGCATTGCCAAAAGCAGTGCAATAGGCAGCTTACCTGTTTGCTTTCAAGTTTTTCAGCCTGGCTTCCAAATCGTTGAGGAGATTTATCTTTTTGCAGCACTGTGAGCAGTAAACATCCAGTAACTCGCTGTTATAAACATGTCTCATTTTTCGGGGGGTTTGGCCAGCACTGTTTGCAGGAAAGGAGAGATATTACTGGCTGTAGTAACCAGCCCACAACAGGTCTTCCTTGTGACTGTGTGTCTGTGTGTCAGAATCACAGATGAGGGGCTTGATGAACCATCTCTAACCACAGCTCATCTACGTCAGAGCTGATGATGGCCAGCACTACTCTTAGGGCAAATCCACCAGTCTGAACTGAGGCCTTCCAGAGCACATGGATGTTTCTGGATGGCAGTGGAAAGAATCAGCTTAGATAACCAGAAGAACAACAAAAGGTACATGTGGTCCACTGTGATGCACATAGCAAAGGCAGCTACATGAGTGTATTCAAACTCAGCAATGTCTTTCTTGCTCTCATCTTGCCCATCTTCCCACTAGAGCCTGGCATGCAACCTGAAGAGTCTTCTCTCCAAGAGAAAGGCAGGAAGATGAAGAACAGAGTGGTCTGGTAGGAAATCACATGAACCCCCTCAGATGGTAGGATGACAGGAACCCTGGAATGAGGAGGAAGGGAGAAGTGGACACAGGTCTATAGAGGAGATAACAGTACCTCTTGGCATGATAAAGAGAAAATAAACTCAAATAAAAGAGAGCATCATAATATGATGTGCACTGAGCCCCAAGAATGAGAATGGAAAGTGCTGCATAAACCTGAGAAAAGAGGGGATGAAAGACATGAGCCATCATCATGAAGGGGCAGCGGAGAGGGGTCTGGCTCTGCATGCATGAGAGACGTGGCCAGGTTGGATTGCAGAAATGCTGGAAACAGAAGGGAGCACGTGGGGGTCGCATGCAGAACAGAAGGATGCAGTGAGCTTGTCCTGTGTTAGTGATGAAGACAAGACCTCTGTGTGCTATTGATCCAAGCAGACTAATCCTAGAGAATCTTCATGCTCAGCTCTTCCCAGCCCTGCTCACCCATTCCCTTGCTTGGGGGAATGACTGGACCTGCCTTGGCCACAAGACATAAGAGCTGCAGAGACTGAGGATACGTGCAGGAGGCAATCTGTGTGGATTTGTAGCTCCTAACAGACAACAGCTACTCGCTTATGTTTCCCAAGACATTCCAAGGCAATAGGATGCTTGTCTCAAATAACCCCCTGAACACATTGCAGCAGTTCCACTCACAGATTAGTGCTAAGGATTTGTAGTATCAGAACACTAAACAGAAACAGCTCTCTTATAAGTCTTCACTATATTAGGGTGGGTACATAATGCTAAGTTGGTTTTCTTTGCAGCAAATCCCTTCCAATACTAGCTCTGAATTGTGGAATTATTGTCTGCAATAGAAATAAATCTCTACAAGCGAAATAGCCCAGTTATTTCAACAGAACCAAACAGAGGTAACCAGAAACAACATATTTGCTATAGCTCTTATTAGTAAATGCAGTCTGTCAATTAGAAGGCTGGAAATGAACTGATAATATTTTGCTTTTAAGGTGAGTCTATCTAACCAGTGTAAACTCTGCTATGGTCAGAGAAGAATAAAAATGAAAAAATGTGTGTTAATGAATAAGGAGCAACCTGGAAGACACAGATGAGCCAAGGTCAGAGTAGGCGTTGGTTCTGGTCTCATCATCAGGACATGGGCTACTGGGAGTAAAATCCACATCATCTCCTTCCCCATAGTCTTCAAACTGTTCTTCATTACTGATCAGGGAGGCGGTGGAATAAGTGGAGAGGTCAGATGCTGCAGAAGGGTTGTGAGGACTTGACCTGAAACAAGAGGTCAAAACATCTCGAAGGCCGACTTTGATAGCACCTCACCTCATATGAAACCTTCCACCTTCACTCTCTTTGAAGCTGTAACCCACCTTTGTGCTAAACCCCTGAAGTGCTAAATGTACCTGATGTGCAGCTGACAGAGTGCCTTGAGAGACAAGAGCATGAGAATCTACGAATAAGGTATCTGTGTGACAAGTTTGGATCAACACAAACCATTTTGCTATAAAGAGCACACTTTGATGGTCCTCAGCCACCACTTCCATGTGAAGACCACATGGGGATTTCTGCTCTGAAGGCAGGAACCATACAGACAGCTCTGAAAAGCATGGGATAGTGAGAGGAACATGTAAAAAATAGAGGCTGCCACCCTATTCCACAGAGTGTTTTCCAGTAATCCAGACACACCCTCTCCCACACCCCAGGAATTCCAGCCACTCTCCACTGCATGGTCAGAAAGAAACCTCAGCTCACCACTTACCAGAAAGTCACTAAAGCTAATGACGTGACTAATGGAGGCCAGGTTCCTACCCTTCCTTCCATCAGGACAAATTCTGTCTTTCAGAGGAGAAATGGACCACAAGACAAGGCTGTCTAACTACCAGAAAAGTACCTAAAGTGATGTTAAATGGCTAGGGAGAGGCAGGACCCTGTGACTTCAGAGAAAGGGCACATAGGTAAACAGATCAGTAGTCAGGCACCATAGGAAAGCAGCTGGCAGAGCAGTTTAGACCACATCAAATCTAATAAAACAGGGCAAGGAGGCTGCAGAGGGTGCACAGGGCTCACCTGCCCAGAGCCCAGACTGCCCTGTGCAGTGCACCTGCAGAGTGCAGGTGTTTTACACAGGTTTGCTCAGCTCCCACCTTGGCGAGGCATTCAAACAGACAAGCCAGTAAATTAACAAAAAAGTTCTTACAAACAAACTTCTCCCTGCAGAAAACACACTTGGAAGATCTGAAACAGATGTTTCAATTGTGAGGCTCTGGCATTGCCCAACTGTTCGCCCTACAGCAGAATCCAAGGCCTCTGCAGTACAGACCAAGCACTACAGGAATCTGCTGGCACTTTAAGCAGATTGGGTGAAGTTTTCCTCTCCCTGTGCTTCAGTGCACCTGCTTGTCTCTCCAGCTCCACCAGCTGAACCATGGGACAGTAGAACCCAGGTGACATTGCTCTCCAGCAGCTCAACAGTATTTCCTCCTAAACATCTTCTGAGTCTACCTTGAGTCTTTCAAACTCTCCACAGGGAGAGTTCTCTTCCAGTATTACTGCACTTGTGAGCTGTAAACAAGAGATGCACCAGTGTTCCTTTGGTGGATTGTGCAAGCATCATTTGCATATCCCTTCCCTCCAAAAGCAATTAGTAGCAGAGGAAGCCTGCCAAGATTTCAGATGTATGCTTTTTTGTTTCCCCTGTTTTGATGAGATCCATTTATAACCTGCAACTCATTTATCTAATTCACATTAACAGAAATTAGGGCAAGTCAAGCCAGGCACACTATTGAAGGATGAAGATAGGAATACTCATACCATAAATAGATCAAACTTATCTAACAAGTCTCCTTTGCTGAAGGATTAGTGAGACACTCAACATATCACACTAACACTTATTCATAAAGTGCTGCTGTGCCATGCACATAGTGTGTACTGGTAACTTTTTGGGAGATTTTACAATCCTACTGCTGTTTGCATCTCAACTGCAGTTACACCAAGTGAGTTTGGGAAGAAGCTCCTTGTAATGCTTCCACCAAGATTAGAGGCCTAGGAATCACACAGTCATTTGCAAAGGACTTGCTAAAAGTGACTGATTTTCCTCATTCTAACACTTCCTGAAGTGAACTTTCAAGTGTTTAATGCTTTTTTGTTTATTTGGGGTTTTTTTTGTTTGTTTTCAAAGAATCCCCTGTTCTTCAGAGCAAGATTTCAGAGGGCTGATACACCTGATACACAACCCACCTTCTTCTTCAGCAAGCAGCAAAGTAAACCTCTCTATTGCCCAAAGTAAATAGCTCTATTGCCTCTTTTAACACAAAAGCATGAAGCTACTCATGCTTCCCCCCCACTGATTTACCAAAGGTGAGGAGGTCTCAGAGGATAAATTAAGGTCTATCAGAGCACAGTAGCTCTTGGTGGTCCTGCCTGCCCTAGAAGGAGGGTACAGGAGGCACAATGCCTTGCCCACCCCCTTCACAAGAGCCGGCCTGGCACAGCTGGGAGGAAAAGCATTTCAAACACAGCATGGGAAAAAGTCAGTCACCACAAGGATGGGCTTTGGACAACTGGGAATGGCAAGCAAAGGAGACAAGCTTGATAAAGAGCTCATGGAAACTGTAATTATCTTGATAAAGTCTCTGAGGTTGCCTGGTCAAATGAGAGAAGGCCAGAACTCAGTTAGCTGAGAAATTCAGGAGGAAGCAGGAATAAGGCAGCACATGGAGCATCCGAGGAGGCCCAGGAGAGAGAAGAAAGGCTGCCTTAGCAACGAACAAAGCTCAAGAGGCACAAATCAAGATGACAGGCCAAAAATAGGGAAGACAACACAGAGGCTTACAAAGCAAGCCCAGCTGAGCTATGTCCTGTGGTAACTGCATTAATTCAGTTCAAAGCTGGATGAAGCCAAATTAGGTTCCCTTCCCACAGTCATATTTAACCAGCACTCCCAGGTACCAGGTGCTCACCTGGGAAGAGTCAAGTTAGGGTTACAGAGACACTGGTGTTAAGAGCAAACTATGGTTATGCACACACATGCCTGGACACCCAGTGTTAAACACAATTTACTGCTGCACAATAAAGGTTATGGAAAATTAGAAACACAAAGAATTAACTTGCTATGTGAAGCTGCAAAACAAATCAGCAGAGCCCACAACACCAGATACATAACTAGATGTACAAAAGACTACAGCAGTAGTCTCCATACTGAACTGCTTTGCATAAAGTATTGTTTTAATTCCAGCATATAAAGCTTATGGCAACAGAGAAGAACCTATGTTTTGGGGGAGGCTAATGGAGTGATCTATTCTGGAGAGACTCAGTGCTTTAACTTCAACACACAACATGTAAGTCCTGTGAGTGCTCACAGAATGTACCAGCAGGAGCCAGGACTGAGACCATCTAAGCCACTTAAGGGGACCTGGACATCCATCCCCCTTATGTTGTAAAGGGATGTTAAGTTTCTAAATCCATCAGCCATCCTCTGCCTCCCTCAGTAGGGATTAACCACATAAAGGCTCCTTCCTCCCTGGCACACGCCTTGGAGCGGAGCTGGCACCACTCACTTGTCACCGGGCAGGAGGAGGCCCCCAAGCACCCCGTCCTTGTCCTCGCTCCGACAGACGTCCGAGGCCTCGGAGCTCTGGGCGCTCTCGATGGCGCTGTCCATGTCAGACTCATGGTGAACCTCCTGCTGCGCCAGCGTCATCGTGTCCTCATCGGGAAACAGCTCCGACTCGCTGTAGGTGCTTTCGCTGTCCAGGTAGGCACAGTCCTGGATTTCACCGCTCTGGGACAAGGAAAATCGGGAGTCAATTCAGACCAACCCTGAAGGCAGTTCAGCAGACACAGGAGAAGCAATAAGACACTCTCTGGATACCCTGGTAAGCAAGAGTGATACTGAATAAAAGCCATGAAACAAAAAGCTGACCTGCTTTACAAAGCCAGCTCCTTCAAGCCAATAAAGTAGCCTGTACTTGACAGAAGAGAAGGACACAACACCCAGTTACAAAATGCAGTCAGTTTTACCCTAATACACTAACAAAATGTACTTGAAGCAATAAATACCCTCAAAGTTTTATAACAAAATTAGGCATCTTTTGAGAGATGGTAATATATTAGTCACCAAGAGTTAGTCCTCTGATTAATATTACAGATTGAACAAAAGCAAACCAGATAAGCCCAACAAAGACAGTTTACCCTGTCTTTGAGGATGGACAAAAATTTGTAAGATGAAAAAATAATTGGCAGGCATTAAATTGTTTAGGGTTAAGTCTTGGTGATAATCAAAGATATATGAGAGCAGGAATAAATGGGCAAAATAATCTCTTCCTGCTTCCTGGAACCACATGTCTTGGTTAAGTATCTACTAAAATAAGACATCATTCTCATTACTGCAACTCCTTGCTCTTACGGTTTACCCTCTCCCTCCCCTTCCTGCCCGACGAATACTAAGAATAGCAAAGACAAGCTCTATTTCTTGTCCCTGAGGCACAAATAAAAAATCTTAATTGAAAAAATAAAGGCTAAGATTTTACTCTGTCTTTTGATAAGCAGTCACACTGCAGTTTTGACAACTCTCATCCAGCATGACACAAATAACTCAGAGCTGCAAAGCAAGTCCTGATTTAGAGCTCTACTCCAGAGCTCATCTGGAAGCTCCACAGGCAGCCTGATCATTCAGCTGCTGCTTCACAAGTGAAGCTTTTAAAGCTGAATTCGTTGGCACAAAGAATGGAGTATTTCATTCAGGGATATACCTCATGTTTAGGGACAACTGCCATCCCACCCAGGAATCCCAAGGCACTGGCACTATCACCAGAACTCTCTACCCTAGTGGTGAGCATGTTTGCTGGGACACTGGCCCAGTGGCACCACTTGCCACAGCTCATAGCCTCTGGACACTCCTCTGCTGGAGCCAAGGAGGCTCAAACCTGCTTTTGAACCAGTGATGTTCTGTGCTGATGACACGAATTGTCTTTTCCATTTCAACAGGAAAAGAGTCAGGCAGAAGCTGCAGCTTTTCAAGATTTGCAGAAATGCCTATTAGAAATGCAGGTTTCACCATCCACCTTTTTCCTGAAATACCAACTTACACAACTCTGAAATCTCCTAGCATATGGAAGCTGAAGAAATTCCAACAAGCCCACCTGCTCAAATCTCATTAACTAATGAATACCCCAGCAGGGAAAAGGACAGCACTGCCTGCTGTGTTTGAAACTCCAGGTACACACACAGAGCAGACACCTGGATGCTCTTCTAGCTGAGCTTTCAACAAGCCTTCCAGATTAACAAGCAATGCCAGTGAAACACCTGGCTCTATTCAAAAAGCCTTTTCTGTGTCAGCTTTATCATGCCTGAAACTTTCCCGAGGTATTGCCTCCAGAAGTGCCCCAAAGGATTTATCCTTGGTCTATACCATGTTGTACTGATTGAAGGCACACTGCCTCATGCAATCAGATGTATAGCTCTGAGCCACAGCCCCCATCCCCAGCCAGCCCAGGTCTGGCAGGTCAGACACCAGCCCTGGAACCTGCCCTGCCTTAGCCCCGGGTTCTTCAGCACGCCTGACTTGCACCTTGCACCCTCCCAAAGCAGCAGGAACTACGCCACTGTGCTCTTTGCAAATTACCCCGGAACCTACAAATAGCACAAGCAGTAAGTCCTTTCTAGTAGGTGTTGAAAAAGCAGAGATTACTAAGAGCAATTACAATGTTTCAGAAGTACCCAGAACTGTTTATTTATCTTACATTTTCCCGACGTTTCCTCCCCTACGCTGAGCCCCACAGTCACAGACATTATTTTCTTAACAAGTTTAATGCTATAAAGCCTGATTGCTATTATGGAATTGCACCAGCTGGTAAAAGTCTGATCCAGGAGGGAAAGAGAGGGGCAAGCAGCACACAGTAGATCCCTGAGGTTCTCAATTAGCACGTCTTTTTCAGAGATCTTGGAGAAGGTCTCTGCTTAAGCAAGTTTTTACAGCAGGAAAACCTCTCCGGTATTAAACAAATTAACACAAGAAAGTAAAGGTCAAGAAGATCCCGAAAGACTCCCTTTTTGCTCCCTATAGGTAACACCACACATTTGCTTGTTCTAATAATAGCAGCTGAGGTGCTCTTTGAAGAGTCCATTAGCAATTAAATGTGCAGTGTCATCTCTATGGGCTGAGGGTTCACTTCTCTGTCCCTTTCTGGCAACCTTCACACATTTATTTGTATGGGAGAGCTGATCTACTCGTACAGCACACACCTCCACTGTCCCCAGCCCACTCAGTGCCAGGGATTCTTTTCCAAAGTGTAATTCCTCTATTCCTGCACTATAAAGTACTCTGGGAAAAAAGAAAAAAAAAAAAAAGATAAAAGAGGGGGGAAAAAAGGAAGAATAAAATAAATACATTTTTGGAGGTGATGGTCCATCATAAGTCATCATAAGCATTTCAGCTTCTGAAATGACCCACTGCCAGACTTGGAGCACCTCCTGGAAGCAGGTCCTCCCTTCTGCTGATCCCATCCTCGAGAAGAGGGGAGCTCAGGGACTGATGGGGACTGGATAAATGGAGAACAGGGGCCAGCCAAGCTCCTTGGAGGAGCTCCCCCTCTGCTGCTCCCTCACGGTGGGAGGGCAGATGCCACATCCAGGTTGCCAAGGCCCCTCTTCACAAACCTGGCCCGACCCCAGTGCCCGAAGCAAAGAGGATGTTTAGGGAGCACATCTCAGCTGCTCCCTGAGCACCCGGCAGCCAAATCACACACTGAAGACCTCAGCCCTTTCAAAGCCAGCAGCACCACGAATGACCGTGCCAGGAGCAGCTCAGCTCTAGTAGCTGTCAATTCACGCTTCTAAGTGCTCACTGCCCACCTCCAATCGGTGCTAACACAATTTCAGGTGATGTACAGCAGCCAGGATCAGCGACAGCCACCGTGCTCCATCCTGCATGCCTGTTCCCTGTGGGCAGGAACTACACGCTCCACCAGTGAGCTTTGAGAACCCAGGGGTGTGGAATCCCTGCCCCTGCTAATACAATATTCCTGGCACATGGGGACCCCTCGTGCAGCTCCTGTAATGTATGGAACTCGGGTAACACCACTCTGGTGTCTCTTCAGCTCCCTGGGTGAAACCAGCCTCCGGTGCAACTGTCACAATCACACATTTAATTAAAACTTTTCCTTCTGTGGCCTAAATAATCAGTAGGAGAACATAGACAAAGCATCTTCGAAACAACTAATACAGGTTAAGTAAGCTATTAACAGAATCGGGCCATGTCACTGGTAAACAATATACAGGCATACACACCTTACTGAGTAAAGCTGTAAGTTATTTGAAGCTGTAATTGTTCAGTGATCATGGCTTCTCACAGAACTATACTTCCAATGACATCTAGCACAAGCTGCTTTCAAACCACACCTAAAGAAATTAAACTAAATTAAAAAAAAAAAAAAAGAAAAAAGAAAAGGCTGATTGCACACATCGGCCTCTCAAATTATTCCTTCATAGTTCGGATATCTACAGTATTTCATGCACCAAATTAGAGGCTGGCAAGAACAAGTGCTATTCAGGTGGCCTCAAGAGAGCTAACTTGAGATTAAGGAGAGTTTAAGAAGTTTAAAGATGAATAGACACTTCTAGCCTGAGTCATTTGTTTCCAGTGCACATGTCATTAGCAGAAACTAGCAAGAGAATGAGGTTCTGACTACTTGAATATGAATCACCGGGGTTTGTCATTCTCCTAGGCAGCTCCCTTCTTTGTTGGCTGAGTCAAAAGAGATAAAGCTGCTGCTTATGATCTTGGAAGATTCTCATAAAAAGAAAACCCAACCCTGAACGTTAAAATACCACCAACACAACATAGCTGCGGGCATCTTTAAAGCCCTAAGTGGTTTGCACTTTATCCAATCGGATGCTCAAGATAACTCCAAGTGCTTCACAGGCAGCCGGCCAGACGCTTGTATAGCAACTGTTGAATATTCAGCAACAGTTTGCTCTATAGAAGCACCTGCTGCCCACAGATCCAAGGCCACTTCACAGAAACTAATGAATTCCCTTCCTCGAAAGAGGCTTTGTGTGGCTGCATTGAAGGCAGATGAGTAAGCCCAGCCTGCCTTTGCAACAGCCACCCCAAACAGAAGCAGGAGCCAGAAGACAGCGATTCCCATGGATTCCTTCTGATCCTTGTGCGGCAGGAAAGCAGTGTCAGCATTAGGTGGGTATGGGAATACAGCTCTGCCTTGCCCCGCAGTGACCTGACTGGGCTTTCCCAGGTTGGAAGCAATCTCCAAAATATGCATATAAAGCAGCTGAAAACTAGAAACTTGGCTGACAAGCAGGCTACATGACATGCCTGCATCAATACATTCACGCTGAAGAGCAAACCTCGTTAAAATTCACCCCCAATCACAGGCAAATCACCAGCACCCCTGACATTTAGACAGCCTCACAGTATGCTGGAGGAGACAGGGAAGAAAAGAGGATCCAAGTATCCCACCACTGTGCAATCTGATTAGTAAGAGCTGGACCCATCACAGATAACCAGAAACAAGAAATACCACATGCAGATGAGCCATGGCCCTTCCTTCACCAGGATCATGCCCCTGACCCCTCTGATAAGCTGAATCTGCTGTGGGACAGACACAAGCCTGAGTCCCTTCCCCAGCCACTTCCTTCCCATGAAAAAAGCACAGGAAAAGTCACCTCACCACAACTGGAAGGGAAGAGGTGCCATGTGGAGGTGTGCCAGGCTTGGTCTCAGATGAAAGTTACTTACTGTTGCACTCCATCTTAAGAGAAAAT